TAACGGTATCATAATTCTTCAGGTTAATTTTAAAACTTTTTCTGAATTGCTATGGAAGGATCTAGTTGTCTTCCGAGAGCAACAGTGAGTTAGGCATCGACTATACTGTAAAGGTCATACAGCTATGTGCAAAATGTGAAATACACTTTCTGTGAAATGAGAAACAACAGTGATGAAATAGAATAATAGTGGGCGAAAAGATGAAATGATCAGCTTTGTCTGTAAAAGGCAGGGGCACGTGGCGAGAGTCTGCCCAACGGCGACGGTCCACCGTCTGACAGCAGGTGAAAGAGGAAAGGCTGCACGCTGTAAAAAGAGAGTGCAGGCCCTCCTCGTTACAGGGCCCTAATAAGCTGCGTGTCCTTTGATATAGTCTGCGACGGTAGGTAGGTAATTAGACGAAAAGGCCGTAAGAGAAAATCTGATAGTTATGACATTTTGCTTGCCGTTTTATCAACCAGCTGATGTTGAGTATCAGTGAGTAGTGCTTAGGTGGAAGGAAACTACCAAGAGTGCAACCTTCGAAGAGATAACGCAGTTTACATTGCACGTACGGTATAAACTTACTGGAGACTATCGCTGACCTCTAAATAGTGTCGCTAATCTTGGTAATTTTAGTGTATTATTATGCGATGAGATAATTTCAGAATTCCTGTAGGCTTTTGGGTCTGAGAGGGTGCCTGTCGTGTCAAACACGAAGTGTGATCAGCACTCTTTGTTCGAGAATGTCCGGTATTATTCTTTTCTTTGTATGTAAGAAATGTATGTGGGAGGACCACAAGGAGGAAGGAGAAAGTAAGGCTGTCGGGGAGAACATCGGGGTTATTGGGCTGAAAGAAGAACGAGGAATGCGGGCGAATCGTGACCCAGGAGCGTGCGGGTCCAACGGGGTATTTTGGCTAGTCAGGCCTGCTGTTGTTAGCGAGAGCCTCGGTGAAGAAGAGGGGAAGGATAAGAGGAATTGTGACGGGAATTAGTCGCTCATCCACTAGAAAAGTGGATAATTTGAGATTCTGCTGCTTGTATCTGTGCTGCTGAAATCGTGTTGAAGTTGCATTATTCGCTGTATTGTAATGAAGTAATAGACTTCGTCCCTCACTGCACGAGTCATCATTTGATCAGAGTTACGAGCAAAAGATCAATAGTACCGTACCTTTCCTGGATGCGGCAAGTCCCGTAGATGACCATTCATGCGGGCGTGACGTAGATTACGTGTGAGAAGTGGAAAATGCCGAAAAATTCTTAACTGTTTTAGCTCCAAGCTGCTGTGGTGGAGCATTTATTTGCTTGCGATTGGTATGTTTTTTTCTGTGGAAATCGTTT